TTTTTTTTTTGAATTTATGTTATTGATTCTTTAGTGGAACAAGTTTTGACTTTTGACTTTTTCTTGATAATTATCATAGAGAACTGAAAGCATGAATCGTGTTTTGGCTTAAACAAATCGGAGTTACAAGAGTTTATATTTATTATATACAATCCATACGCACACAATATATAACAGCTCGTATTTTGAATTCAACTTTTATTTTAGTAAGGATTATGTTTGAACATAATTTAACAGATATGAAGGCTGTCCGATTAATATATAATAATATAAAATAAAATATATGATTTTTTTATCTAACAAATTTATTTAAATATTATATTTACATCCATTTAATATATAATATAATAAACTACAAATTTACATATTCTATATTTTTTTTAAAGTTAATATTTTATTTAAATACATATTGGGTTACAACTTGATGAAATCAAAGAGAAATGGAAAAGAAAAACAAGAGAGAGAGAAAGAAAAAGAAAATAGGGAAGGGAATTTATACCCTAATTAATATGTATATGTACATAAAAATAAATTGTAATAGTCCGGAACTTAAAATGAAATAAATTATAAATTGAATGCGGAAGTGAAATAATAGAGTTAGAGTTTACATTTCTTACATAATAATTTAGAATACCCAATAGGAATACGGAAATGATCTTTAAAAGAACAAGCAAAAGATCAAGAAATAAATAAAAAGTAAACAATTAGCTATATTAGAACGACATTCACTAGCCTTTGAATAGAGTACGAGTGGTGAACTATTCACAATCCCCTTATTGATCGGGATCTGGATCTTGATCCTCTTGATCTGAAATGATTAATGAGTTAAACTATCCCAGTAAGAATATCATACTACTCACTGATACAGAAATGAAAGTTGGTAAAATCATAAAAATAACTAATAGAGTTCTTAATTTAAGTAAATTCATTTACCATAAGTAAAACTATTTATTCCACACTTACTGTTTGCGAAATTTTTAAAACTGATTTATAGAGATAATAGTTCAACAACATTATAATCTCATATTCGACTAAGATAAAATAACAACTTTTTATTTTTATTTACCTACTGATATCTATGGGGATCTATAGGTATGTTTCACTACGCATAAAGTAACATCCAACCTTATCAACTAATCGACCGTCTCCATACCTCGTCTGATATGAGCACTAAAATACTATCCCTCAATATCCCATATAGTATGAGGGTGAAATGGGTGTCCCCATACCCCGTCCGGTATGAGCGTCAAAATATCAATTCTCGATACCCCGTTTGGTATGAGGGTGAAATGGGACGTCTCCATACCTCGTCCAGTATGAGCGCCAAAAATACTAATTCTCGATACCCCATCTGGTATGAAGTGACGTTCACGATAAGATTTTTTATGTACCCGGTCTGTTCATCATCTCTCAGGATATTCAGTAAGGCTATCACTCATTCATTCACTTAACCAATCAATTTTTCGTTTATATTTAATTTTTAGTTTTACAATTTAATTGTAAATCATGTAAGACAAGCAATACATGCATCAATGAAACACAACCGAATCATCTTACCAATTCCAGAATATTATCATGCATTTAAAACTATAAAATCAAATAATCAGTTAAAATATGACAAACAGTAATGAATACCCGATTCCGGCTCAATTAGTAACATGTTATCAAAATTTTTTAAATTTTACAAAATACCGTATTATTTATAATTAGACTTCAATTCTATAATGGGGAATAAGGTGAGAGATTTTTATATGAATTAATGTCCGAAATACTGAACTTTCTACTGTGCCTACTAGCGGTCTCTGAATTTTTTGAATTTTTCTGCAAAGGTACAAACACACTTCACGTACCTAAAAATACACCAAAAAATCCAAAATTGATGTTAAAAACCATTTTCAGCTAATTTTAGAATTCTGGCACGACGGTACCATCGTGCTCCAGTGACGGCACTGCGGCTTGCGGTGGCGGTTTGCCTCAGTCTGACCATTTTTGGCAAGTTTTGACCGGTTTTATACCCATCTCTGCGAGAAAACACGTTAGGGGGTCTCGGTTGGTCGAAAAAAATTAAAAAATAAAAACTTACAGGCAGCAAAATTTTTCAGTGGCGGCTCCGCCGACTCACCTTCGTGGCTGGACGTTTTTCTTCGGTCAACTTATAAAAACCAGAACGTTGAATACAATAGTAGAAAAATTGCACGAAACGAAAAACAGGAAGGGGCTCATTGGAGACGATTTTTTATATTTCTTGCTGCGGCACCACCGGACTTTACCCGCAGTTTTCAGCTCATCCTCCGTTCTTTTTGCTCTGAGTTAGTTATGGGGGTGTTCAAAATCAAATTACGAATGAATATGAGAATTTTTACCTTTTTGGGCAATCGGAGGTGGCTCCAGCGTGGTAACAAGCGGCGGTTGACTCTCTTCTCCTGCGATTGGTTCTTCTTATCCAACAGGGGGGTTGGCGGCTAGGGTTTAGGTTCGGTATGAAATGAGATATTTATACTCGTCTACCTTAAATCTGGGTCGTTCATCGCGTTTGATCTCGACCATCCGATCGCGTTTAAAAAAAATAAATCTGGACCATTCATCGCGATTTTATCTCGATCTAACGATCACGTTTAAAGAGAGAACGAATCTAAACCGTTCATCACATTTAATCGTGATCATCCGATTGCGTCTGATGAGAGAACGAATGTAGACCGTCCACGTGCGCGGGAATGCATATAGGCCGTCCGATCATGGGCACGCAAATTACCAGTGTGGCCTCCTGCGTGCCACCGAGTTAGTTGCGTTGTCAGGCGGTGCATTCTGATTTGTCGGAGCTGCTGACTGGGCAGTCCTACGTAGTACAATTTTTTTTAATTGCGTTTTGACCTCCAGTTTTCGATTTTTTTTCAAAAATACCCTCCAAACCTAAATTTTTACCCATTTGTCCCAAAATTATTTTCAATTTCATCTTCCACCCATTTTTTCCTAATTTTATATTAAATAAATATTTAAAATTTTAAAATTTATATTTTTATAATTTTTTTAATTTTAAAATTAATTCTGAGCCAAATTTTGAGCTCGGGTATTATAACTCACTCCTCCTTAAAAGAAATTTGGTATCTCAAATTTGTCTTCCTGTCACTCAATTAAACAGTTGGGGATACTAAGCTCTGAAGTCTGATTCTAGTTCCCATGTGACCTCTGTGTGTGTGTGATTCTACCATATGACCTTAATGAAAGAAATTTTCCGATTGCGGAGTACTATACTCTTTCGGTCAACAATACCCACCAATATCTCCTCGTAGAACAGATCCTCCTGGAGTGAAATGAGCTCGTGGGCCAAGATGTGAAAGGGGTCCGGGTTATACTTGCGTAGCATGGACACAAAAAACAT